TGTTATTTGTTCATTTAATTGTTGTCTTTTAAAGAAGCATCTCAGTGGTGTATGGGTTTCTATAACACTCCGTGTTGGATCAGATTGAACGATTCGCGAAAAAAAAATTGCCTTCGCTGAAGCCATGACCTGGCTTTGACCTGACCATAGCTAATGAGCTTACAAGGTACATCTTAATTTTCGGCGCCAGACGATCCAATATCTAATTTCCACAGCTATGCAAAATTTGACGCGGCTACGCCGCGCCATTCGGAAACCATTCCGGAAACCTTCGGGGGTCAATTTGACCCGCACCCGAGGGGGGTCAAATTGTCAATAGGACGTCTTAAGGCTCCTTCGAAGGACGAAGGTTAAGATTGAATGCAAATCGTGAAGCTAGTGCACTATGAGCGCGTATGGTAGTTTACATTCATGTACACTGGCATGAACAGCGTTGTGCAGTTTGACTTTGTCAGAACAAGAATATATGTATGTCATGACTTGAACACAGCCTGATGCAGTTCCGAAAGTCTTAACAGGGAAAATAGGTGCTGACCATATTGCACGTGCCAACCTGTTATTTAGGATCACAGGACCGGGGTTTCCACTATACCTCCCATGACGAACAGAAACGAGATCATTAGTAGCAGTAAATTCACTCTGAGCATCCTTGCTGTGATTGCAAGCTACGCCATATGCTGTACGTGCGATTATGATGAATAGCAGCTGGCAAGGAAGTGGAGGTAGAACATGATACCAATCCAATCGGCGAAAGAAGAAGGATAAGAGGTGACAAGGCTGGCGGCTGGGGTATAAAGATCCCCGCTGATACAAAGGAGATAAACGGAAAGTAAAAGTAGGGCAGTGACGGCTGTGGCAGCGGCGAGTTGACGGTTAAGAAATAATATATATATATATATATATATATATATATATATATATATATGACATATTAAGTAATATATATTAATAATATATAATAAATATATAATATGTGAAGCACGAGGCCAATCGAGACCAAACGACTTTGAGGCGGCTGGAGAAGTTATACACTCCCTGTCAAATGTTGATACGCGCACCCGACAACATATCAATACAAACACAAAACAAATCAAACTGCATGCCCACGGATACACACAAACACACACACACACAAACGCACACGCACACACACCCACACCCACACCCACACCCACCCCACACCCAACACACCCACCCCCCCCCCACACACACACACACCCACACACCCACACACGCACACACACACACACACACATACACACACACCCATACCCACACCCACATCCACCCCCCCCCCCACACCACACCCCACCCCTGCACCCCCCCACACACACCACTGCTATATTTCCAGCACCAATGTGCGACACCACAGCGAGGTTCGCCGACCACGCTTCCTTCGATACGACAGAGGAGCGGTGCTACCGGCTTCTTTCATTCCTGGATCACTGAGCTCCTGCGGTGTGTTGAGTAATACATGCTGCTTGTGCTGTACGTGCACGGTATGTACTCTGTCGTCCAAAAGTAAGAACCGGTATGCTATTTTTTGGTCATTTTACGCTTGTTATGTCATCTAATACATCCGCTCACGCTGGTTTCGATTATTTAAACAATCGGTTGAATTTTTCACAAAATTTAGCCCATCTTTAGCCCATTCTTTTTATTTCAAGTGCATGAAATTCCAACTATTGGCTTAAATATCCGAATGCAGCATGAGAAAGCGAAGCAGATGACGTAAAAAGCGCAAAATGGCCCGCAGCTAATCTATGGGATTTTTGCCTTTGGACGGCAGCACAACATACAACACACAACACAACATGCAACTACTGGGACAGTGCTTCACCAGTGCAGCGCACGCACACCGCAGTGTCAGCGACCCGAACTCCAGCAGGTGAGTCAGTTGATTCCGGCTAGCCGATCCTCGTCGCGTGCGCTGACCTGGGATACGGCTGGAGTCCCACGTGCCTGTGGTTAGTGCCCATCAGTCACCGACCTCTCCATACAAGCCCCTGCTGACCGCAACGCTCTCGCGTCGCTACCACGGCGAGGGCTTGATGGCATCTGTCAGAAGCCAACCGCACGGCGAAGGCTGGGCGCCTCGTTTCTCCGAGCATGGCAGGACGTGTTAGACTCTAAGCCGAAGGTCCTGCTTTGTTCGGTCCGAGAGGTAGTGAAAGTGGGCCGAGTGATTGCAGTGGAGGACAGGCCGAACTGGCCTTATGTGAACAGTGTAGACGTTCCATTTGGAATGAGCGCATTTCATTGGTCTGAACAGTGAACGCATTCCATTCGTCTTAACAGTGAAAACATTTAATTCGGAATGAACACATTCCATTCATGTGAACAGTGAACACATTACATTTGGAGCGTTTCACATTCCATTCCGAGTGACTGCAGTGAAGGACAGGATGAACTGGCCTCATGTGAACGGTGAAAACATTCCATTTGGAATGAGCGCATTCCATTCGTCTGAACAGTGAGCAAATTTAATTGGGAATGAGCACGTTCCATTCATCTAAACAGTGAACACATTCCATTTGGAGCGTGCTGGTCCCTGGTCTGCTCAGCACGGCCCAGCTAAGTGGAGGCCTTCGCGTGTAATGATTTCTTTATCTAATCCACTTACTATTTATGGGTTGTGTCCATACCCACCCGCCACCCAATCGTGGTCTGTTGTATCCACCTGATACCCAAACGCTTACATTTTTTTCAGTTTATTGGTTGCAAATTATGGACGAGTTTCAGGAAAGTTTACATCCAGCCCTGCGTTGATATTTACAAAAGTTGCGTGCGTAGACCTGATGGTGATTAAAAGGGATGCAAGAAGCACCATTCTGTAGTATTTCTTGAGGAAGCTGTAGCTGGGAGCGGTGGAGGTGTGTCGGCTCGTGCGTTTGTCTCTGGGCCTGTCGGTCCCGGGTTCGGATCCCGGCCGCACCACTGCCACATGCCGCATGTTACCTGATAAAGACATCCCGTTCATAAATGGCACCGGTAGTCACTGAGGCGTTAGGCCCCAATCAGAACAGAAGTAGCTGTAGCCGACATGTGTGACCGTCTTACCCATGCCCGTACCCAAGGACGGCGCCAGGGGTTTTCAGTTGGGGCAGGGCGCTTCCAGGGCGAGCCGCTGCCCCCCCCCCTCTCCCCAAAGGAGGCCTCCTGCACAGTGTCGTATTTAAAGGGGGAGGTAATGAGAGCATTTGCCCGTTATCGAACTGTTGCATGTGTAATATCAAAGCAAATAAGTATCGACAGCAAGAAAAAAACAAAATGAGGCTTTTTGGTTATTCAGGAAAGGAGCTCGCTGACCTAAAACAGAGTCCCCTGTTCCACAAAAGGGCCTCCTAATGCAGAGTGTCATATTCCAGGGATGCTTGCGATTTACGAAGGGGCTTCCAAATCTAGTCAACGGACCTCACTATCCCAAACAGAGTATCCTGATAAGGAACCGCGGTCATCTGATGCTGGAAAGGGATCTGTTGTTCCAGGAATGAGGGCTTCTGAATACCGAGGGTGCCTCCTTACCCAAAACAGGGCCTCCTGTTTTAAAACAAGGGCTTTTCAAACCAGCAAAGCCTCCTGTTTTATAA